TAATAATTCTTTAATATATTACTTGTGTGGTGTAGAAGATAAGTATTTAAGAATGTAATTATGTACGAATGTTAACACTCTGTTATAATTCTTTAGTATATTACTTGTGTGGTGTAGAAGAGATCTATGTAGAGATACTGCTTGCAAACCAATGATGGTAAGATGATGTCATGGGGTAGGACTGGATAAGTCTGACTTCTTCCTACTCCATTCAAGCATATACTAGGTATAAGCAAATTGATATTGCATTAGCATTTGTTGGATATGTGTAAAATTAGGTGTGTTGATATATCAACTGTGTTTACATGCTTGAAAGAATAAATAAATCAAATCAAAATAAAATAAAAATCAAATCTTTGGAAAAGGAGCGGCTGTAAAACGGTGAATAAAATTTTTCTAGTGTCACAAATCCAGAGAAATGATTTTTTTAGCAGATTTCGATTCACTGGGTCCAATATCATTTCGGAAGTCTAGTTTAGCGACTAGTTAGCAGATATTTTATTTTTATCCCATTCATGTGTGGTTGGAACCAACTGGAGGTCACCTGGCTTGGAGCAAGTGCACATGCTTTATGGGCCTAAAGCCACAGAAACATGTTGAACAGGCACCATCTAGCAATGATGTATCCAGTTCTCCATTAATACATCCATGGGGATAAATAGTAGTTGGAGGTATGGTCACATTGTAGAATGAATTTTATTTATAGGTTAAACAAATTTCAATTTATGCCTCTTTATTTGTATTTGATACACAGCAAGCGGGGCTTAGACTAACTTATCACATATGATAAGACTGGTATATTGGGAAACTGACACTGAGGCCCCGCAACACACAAAAGATGTGTAGTATGGTTTCATCTTTCAAAACAGCTCTGTTCCTACTATCTGATCAAAAATGAAATTCCTGTCTTCAGGTGTATGATGAGTGAATATGTGGCGAGTAACCTTTCACCTCCAATAGGCCGTGGTTGACTCATTTCATCCCCAGGAGGACACTCATAGCCCTCACAACAAATGTCAAGAAGATGCCCTGGGCTGGAATGATGAAGCTGCAGTCCCTGATTCCACAGACAGATATGACAGTAGCAGAGGCAGCCAGATATATTTTGCCCTCAACCAATGAATCGTCCGGAACGCTGTAAATAACATTGTATGTTCTCAAGCTCATTGTCCCTTTGGGCAGCGCCCTTTCCCTTGCAGATGAAAAAGTTGAGTGGGTGACAGTGTGTGACAAACTATCTGTGCTCTAATGCTCTAGCTGTTCTGACCACGTCTGGACAAATTACTATGGTGTGGAGGTTATTGTCCAGGCTTCATCTGTGATAAATAGTAATGGTGAACTGGATCAGTCAGGCTCAAAGAAAGGGCAATGCTACAGAAGTAAAAGGAGGAATTTATGAGAAACACCAAAGCCAGACTATGCAAGGTCTTTGATCACATTTTAATAGTGTAAAAATCATAATATAAATATCAAATGATAGCGAGTGATATGGGAAAATCAAATGGATCAAGAGCCTACATGTCAAGATGATCGGCTGAGTATGAAGCACAGTTTTAGTGAGGTTTCATTTCAAGTGGAACAATATCCATAGATTCAGGTCTGGTGCATCCCGAGATCAATTTCAAAGCGTCACGCGAGAAGACACAGCCAAACAGAAAACAAAGGAACTAGTCTTGATTGCAATCCTCTCTGTCTGTCTCTCCCTCTGCATCTCTCCCTCCTCCTCTTTCAACCTGTTCGTGCACAAGGGCTGCTGCTCATTTCTGAAGCACTGTCGTTTGTCTTTGTCAGATGCCCAAAAGACTGCGGAATGAAGAGGGACACATGAAGAGGGGCTGGGTGACTGTAGCTATGGTACGTAACCACACACACACACACGAACTGTCACCACTGAATTTTGCAGACAGTCCTTGCCAGCATCTCCCTTTCCTTTGCAAATCCAGTCTCCTTTACCAACCACTGCATCTTTAGAAACACATGCAAAGTCAACTGGAAGAGCATGGTAAAAAAGATTACATTTGATTGAAAGGCCACTGAATTAGGGAAGAGTTAGGGGAGCAACAGACTAACTATCAGCAGTGTGGTTTAAGATAGATG